GGATGGAGGATATGGATGGAAGGATGGATGGATAGACGGGTGGATGAATAGAAAGAAGGAAGGAAAAGTGGGGGATAGAAGTGTTACTGGATTGTTTGGGTTGAGTGGTGGGTGGGCACCTTTCTTGCTCTCGTTTTGCTCATAAGCTCCCTGAGAGGTGTCATGGCAACCCGAGGAAGAGTCTTTCTCTTGATGGGACAGGATCAGGGCAGCAAGTCCATCTGTGTGTCCCAGTGACGAACACAGCAGGTCTTCCAAGATGCCCTGAGCCCCTGGTCCCGGCCACATGACCAAGCCCTCCGTGCACATCCAGAGGGGGCTGGGCACTGGAGGACAGCCAGGAAGAGGAGCCTAGGGGCTGAGCGGGCTCAGCTAAATCCCAGCCGCTGACTGCTGAACGGGACTCTGCCCCCGGGAACAGACATGAGGGCTCCCGGGCCAGGGGGAGAAGGCGGTAGGCCCCCACGCAGTTGACACCTGAGGTCAGCTGCCCCTGGGGCGCCCTGTGAAGCGGAGCCCCTGCCCTCCCCACATGAGGGTGGCTCCCCACAGGATTGGCATAGTGTGGGCGGGGGCAGAGTGCAAGCCCTCACACTACGGGGGCCTTGCACTGGTGACGGGACATCACGCACTGGTCCCAAACACTGGCCCCCGCTTCCATACCTGTGCCCCAGCAGTGTGCCCTGCCCCATCCGATTCTCTCTGGACCCCACCCTGAGATAGTAACTGGGAAAGGGTGCCCCTCTAGAGGAGACTGGGGCATGGTGTACGGTGACTCTTGTCATTGTCACTTGTTGGCACACTCACATGCCCACGTTCCAGATGGTAGCTGAGCTCCACCTTGAGTCGCTACGCGACTAACGTGTGTCTCCCTCCTTGCAGTATGGGAACTCCGGGGGACCACTGGTGAATCTGGTAAGTACCCGCAGGGCCGGCGCCTCTGAGGCTCTGCTCCCCTGAGACGGGCGCAGGTCTGGGACCCAGCACGTAGCCCTCGAACCTTCAGGCTAATGATCAGAGCGTGGCTGGGTGGGAGGCCGGCGGGAATGACCCACGTGCCTGCTGCCTGGTGTCCCACAGGATGCTGGTAGCGACAGAGGAATGAGGGACCCCACACACACAGCCAGGGACCCTGCACACACAGCCGCAGGTGCCATGCGCCCACGGGGGTTCACAGCAGGAAGACCCAGAGCGCCCCTCGTGGGGGGATCTGGATCCAGGCACCCTCCCTGCCCCCCACCCATCCTCGCATTCAAATGGTGGGTGAGAGCAACTGTCCCACCCCCCACCCTCTCAAGGCACCCTCCCCAGTTCTGCTCTGGGCCTTAAAGTCAGACTCACTGGCGTCCCCGGTTAGCTGTTTCTGGAGTAAGTCAGGAAGCGTCAGTCCAGGTCCAGGGACGCAAGGAGTTGGTGTCAGGCCCTGCCCGGCATCCACAGTCATCAGGAGGTCACACAGGGATGGGCACCTGGTTTCTGTGGGAAAGAGGTCACTCTGCAGGGACAATGACAGGGAGGGTTTGTGGCCAGCATGGGGTCAGGGAGGGCTTCCTGGAGGAGGAAGCATTTAAGCAGGTTGTAGGGAGAGAGGAGGGTTGGAGCAAGGTGCTAGGAGATGAGGAAGTCCAGAAAGAGGGCATGGCCAAGCTCAGGGGTGGGGTCCCAGGCGGTGTGTTTAGGGAACCCTTCCTGGGCCCAGGACCCGGCAGTGACCTGATGGGGACGTGCACCCCGGGGACCAGGTGGGTGAAGGGTGTCATGACTCAGACCCCATGGGGCCCCGCTGAGCTGGTGGCCCTCCAGGGCCCCCTTGGCCTGGACGTGGCACAGACCCTGCTCCAGCTGGAGCCTGAAGGAGGCCCAAGAGGCACATTCCAGGCCATGGGAAGGAGCCCGAGTGGGGCCCCCACTGGTCCCCATTCTGGCTGCTCAATGTGGGGGGCAGGGTGGGGATGAGGTTCGGCCCCACTTGTCCCCCAGCCCAGCTTCTAGGAGGGGGAGCGGGACCAGGCCCTGCTCGCTCTTGGGCTTCTGCCCCTGGGACCCTGCCCGGGGCCTGTCATTGGCCATCTCTCAGGGCAGGGTGCCACCGCCTGGGAGACAGGCCTGGGCTGTGACCTTCCTCAGCAACACTGTCCAGGAGTCTGGGGTCTGGCGGCCGTGTGGCAGGAAGGTGGGGGTCATCAGCCCAGACCCAGGCCCAGAGCCACCTGTCCAGGAGCCTGAGGCAGCTCTACAGGCCTCTCAGGTGGGGGTGCTGTGGGGGTCAGCTCCATGGAGCAGCCAGGGGCCGTGCTCTGCAGCTGAGGGCCCCCGAGTGACCACCACCGGTCTCCCCACCCAGGACGGTGAGGTCATTGGCATCAACACACTCAAGGTGGCGGCCGGCATCTCCTTCGCCATCCCCTCAGACCGCATCGCCCGCTTCCTGACTGAGTTCCAGGACAAGAATATCAAAGGTAAAGCACTCAGCTGGGGGAACCTGCCCCAGGACGGAGGCTCCCGTGTGACTTCCCTGCTGGGGGCCAGGATGGAGGAGCACATCTGAGACCCCAATTGGGGCCTGGTTACCCCCAGGAGGCTCCAGATGACTCCACTGCCCATCCTCAGGAACCACGTGACCCACTCACTCTACCCACCCTGAAGGTCCAAGACCCTGGGACTATTCATCCTCAACCCCTCTTGGAAACTTCCTTCCTGCTCCTTCACCTCTTGGCCATGTTCTTCACCCCATGCCCCTCCAGACCATCCATCCTCCTGTCTGGGTCTCTGACCACCACTGGCACCATCTGCTGCTTGGACTCTCCACTCCTCCTGTCTGGGCTGCTCCTTAGATGTTAGAACCTGGTGCTTGCTTCCTTG